ATAGCATAAATTGTAATTTAAAAATAATCAAGAAAAATGCTCAAAAAACAGAGAAATATCATTCATATCATTCTATGAAGGAAAATAAAAACAATGACGATAATTATAGCTGTATAAGTTTGTGTCTCAAATGTTTTGAAAAACTTTGCTTGTCTTTGGAAAAAAAAGCTTAAGGATTAAATCTGCATATCATTGAGCTACGATACATATGTATGTATGCCTAAATGCGCTAAAGAAGAAGAAGAAGAAGGAGAAAAGCTTTGTTAGATTGCTTTTCTCAATTGAGAGAATATAAACGATTTTACATTTATGCCAAAAGATTGAAAGTTAAGGCTAAAGAAACGAAAGAATAGCTTTATAGTTGTAGCCTTTTCGAGATTCTGTTCGTTCATTTTTAGCTTTGAAAAAAAGGAAAAAGGAAGATGAATATTTTAAATGAAAGTTTGTATGTCTTTTTTGATTAAATGAATTTTTTTTATTCGATCGATTTAATTGATAAATGAAAAATGCTATTGATGGAATTGAACTCTTTATATGAGAAATGAAGGAAACGTTAATAACATACAGACTAGATGATGAAATGAAATCTATTTATATAAGCTGCCTCCGGAAATCTAGCTCACGACTTAATTAGCTAAAGGGTAAGCCTAAGGACTATAACATATTCTTGGGTTTACTTCTCCTTACCGTAACCAAATTTAAACTATCTAGCTTTTGTTATTGATGACGATTTTGTGGATGGGGATGGATGAAGTGATAGGAAATTTCCGCAATCCCTTTTACTCTAATAAAAGCAGATTGCTTTCGTTTTAAGATCTAAGCTAAAATTCGATTTTCTCCTCAATCATCGTCAACAATAGCAACCAGCACCGCCATTTATCAACATTTTCCAACCCACTAAATCCAAATAATAATCCTGTTAATTAGCTTTTTACGTTCACTTTTGCTACTCTTTGCTAAGCAATTGATAAGCATTACTGAAAATCGACCAAATTATACTTCTTAATACAATGAAAGTTTCAAATCTTGATTTTACATTTCGAATGAAAAATTAGAAAACGAATTATAATTCCATTTTACTATGTGTAACTAACTATATGATGTAAGTATATCATATATACTAAATAATTATCTTTCTTTGCCTGATGATTTAAAAACATCGATCTATTTTATCGTTAGATAGTATGTAACAGTACAATACATCATCTTTTATCTTTAGACCGGTGATCGATTTCGGATTACGAGAGTATGTCCCACCTTGCTTCTATTAAACACGATTATGGTAAACTAATTTATTCCCAATTAAATTTATGAATTACACTTCTTTCGGGTGCTGGTGGTGATTAGTTTCTAAATTCTGTTCTCTTCATTTATACTCTTCCATTATTTACTGAAGAATATCTACCATTGTTTAGTTGATAAAAACAATGTCAGGAATGTTTTATACTTAGCACGACCTCATCCCTTACTCATCGTATTTAACTAGAATCTTATGGATGACCTCATAAATATTTCAAGTATTATCACCCATCCCTACTTTAGTGCGATATTATGGATACCTATTGCATTTACAACTGATGTATGATAGCTGTCTGAATTCAAAATAGATTTTGAAATACTTTAGGTATACAAAATAAAACGATATCAGGAAGTCGATACATTTAAAAAAACTTGCACTCCTTCCGCTAACCTCTACTTTTAAAATTTCTTAGATATAGATTAGTTAAAGCAAGCAAAAGGTTGATAATATTTTGAAATTAATCTTTTTTTTGTGAATCCCGAAGCAATGCTACAAATTAATTCGTCAGCTGAAGCACAATATGATAAAAATCATTTTTCTTTTTGCCATATTTATGAGTTTGTTGGTGTATGTTTGTGTGTGTGTGTGTGTGTATGTGTATATGTGTTGTTGTATGGAATTCAATCTTCGCTGTACTTTAGGGATCCATAAATGAAATTGAACTTTTTCACGCTACTCACCGATATTTCCCAAATGTATGCGATTTGAATCAAGGGCTGTTGGAAGAAGAATTTCTGAAATGAATCATTAACCAACAAGGTAGCAGCTAGTCTTTCTAGGAAAATAAAACAAACAGCCCTCAGGTTTCACATTCCCAATCACTCTCTCTCTACAAAAGAAGATGATAATACCATAATGAACGCAATTGCTAACCGAAATTATATAAATTTCTGTATATAACTTCACATCACTCATGATAATTTCAGAATCTTGATAAAACAAATTTTCATACCTTCATTCCTCTTTAATCACCCTTCCCTGAATGTATTTCCTTTCTCTCTCCTTATACATACATATATGCATATGCTTGTCTATTATTCTATGACTAAATTAACATGAAATATGAAATTCACTAATATTTTGATGTTAATCGAGATAGATCCGTCGTATCAACATATCGCAAAAATACCATCATAATAACAATAATAATAACACATAATAATAATTGTTAGAAATCGGTGAATTCCAGAATTCGGAACAGAAAATACAAAAGTAATCAAGCAGCAACAATATTCTATTTCTTTCTTTTACAGTATGTTTCTTCTCAAAAAGAAAAGCTGACTGAAATAAAAATTCCTCGGCGGTCAAAAAGAATAAATGATACAATTACAAAATAACAGCGATCTCTAAAATGCTTTTCATATTAGCAAGCTGCTAGCCATAGTCTCTGGTCTCAATCACTTTCCTATACAAAAAGAGAAAGACGGAAAAACCTTACAGCGCTTTATATGAGATCTATTAAAAATTAGGAAATAAAAATATCAATATCCGCATATTTGCTCTCTTCTCTACTTCCTTAAGCAATTATGATGATCTCTGATCAAAATTCACTTTCATTTTAAACTCTCATTACCAGTTTACAAGATGTTGATAAGAATATAGAAATGACAAAGATGTGGATAAAGAATATTTTTTTCAATTTTTCATTTTTAATATATATATACTGAACAGAGAAACGAAATATGCTTAAGCTTACTGTCTTTTCCCTATAGGTAATACAAAGTAAGATTATTCTTTTTAACATAGGGCCGCTATTTAATTGAGCATTTGTAAATAGAAAAAGACTGAGTGTACTCTTTTTAGCATGAGTGATTCTCTAACTATTGCAATACATTTCGATACTTTACTATTACAATCTAAATTCATGGAAAATACTCTATGAGTGATATTGTCATATTAATCAAAATGATAACAGATATATAGTATATGTAGATAACAAACGCTTTAAATATCATACAGATATATTGCATGCTTATTACAATAGAGCACTAATAATGATCATAATAATCAGATGAACTTGTATGTCGCGCATAACTGTATGCATAAAATTTCACGTGAAACAATGATGAAACAAACTTACAGTATTATTGTTTCATTTTACATACGCATATCTGGCCATAACAATAATACTGCTGGCAGCTAGAGAAATAAGAGTTTGGATAACAAAAATGAGAGTGGTATTATTACTATTGATCCCGATGAAGATAAAAATTATGAAATGACACGGCTTGGGAATCTGAATAAAAAATAGGGCCCAAAAATTGAAAATTTTCAGTTGATGGGAAAATAGCATATCTCCTTGATTCATGAAATTCCCGTTCTTCTTCCATTTCTTCCACATTTGGACTGAAACATACCTCACCAATTTTTCAGTCCGACCAATTGGGTATTTTTCACCGTAATAAAAGTCCAGTAATGCGTAATTTCTGCGACATGAAGGAAAGGAAAATCCCGAACATTATCTCCTTCCCAGTTTACAACGATAATCAAAAATATGTTATACAATTCAATTAGAAATAAAGAGATGAGTACAATAAATATCAAATATAATTATTAAAGTAAGCATGTGAAATAATTGAGGCCCTGTCCGAGCTCCCAAATACCCACCCCGACATTAAAGTGACTGGCTAGATCAAGCCTGATTTGCAAAGATGCCACTGTTGGATAAACGCAAAAATCTTTGTCTCTGAAAGCAGAGCAATCTATAGACTAATATTCCTATCTGAACAGTAACTATACAATTTAATTAAATCACTTTATTTAAGAAAATGAATAAAGCAACTGCATCAATCCTAAAGTTTTTCACCATTGTCTTCACTGTTTTTAATGGTTTAAATAAAGTAAATCACCTTTCTTCCATGAAAGAAAGTCTCTGTGCAAATATCATTCTTGAACAGTGCTAAGATTCCTACAGAACATTTTACTACATTGATTGGATGCTGAACCTCGAAAGAATAGCTTTAATATGGGATTTACAATACTATATTATCAACCAACATTCGTGAGTTGAAATTGTTGTGAAAGAAAATTTATTTGGAACTGTTAAAAATTTCAGAAAATTTCCAGCAATCACAGGCGAAAACTCTTCTACTGTTCTATAAATTCAAAACTAAAGTAAGGGCATATCTTAAATGTTATCAAAGAACAAACAAACAGTACTTTGTTTTCAGGAAATGTTCCTTCGTTATGAAATTCCAAAACAACGCTTCTGGTCGTGCTGTTATATATTTGATAAAGCTGAAATATAATTGAATATGTCCGCCACTTTTTATACTACTAGCAATCTTCGAAAAGTATTTCAAAATAACCATTTTGGTGGCAAGCTATGAAAAAAACATTAGCATCGAAACTCAGTTTGGTTTTAAAAAAAACTGTCCGTTAAAGCAGTTTTCAAAAGCTTTTCAAGTTGAGAAGCATAGCTATAGAAATTTGAAGCTTAATCGAACTAAACTAAAATCTTCAAAACTCACTCTCTGCCAACAACAGCTTTCATTGTGTTCTGTTGCGAAGCATAGCCATAAAAATTAAGCCCCATAAGAAGTCTGGACGGATTAATAGATGATTCAGATAAAATATATTCAAAATTGCGCTGAATCCATTCAAATGGTGATATTCCAACAAAACTGAAACATTAAGTCTAACATATTCCTTGAAAATTGATTTTCAATATTTTGAAACATAAAAAAAGAAGCAAAACTTTAAAACGATACGATTAGCAACAATAATTTAAGGCAAAATGAGTAAGAGATTTGTTACATCTGCCAGAAAGCAGCAACAAAAAAATAACAAATAGGTTCTGTAAAAACTAAACCTTTTAAATATCAAGGGTTCAGCAGCTTACGACATATAAGAAAATAGAGAATCATGTGATTAAATGCAAAATGAAAAGAAAAATACTCCAAAAGACTATGAACTTATAATTCGAACTTGAGATAATCTCATCATCTAAAAGTCCAACATATTTCGCTTCAGATATTTCCTTCAATTTCGTGGGGAGTTAAACAATAGTTTTTTTATGATTAGAAAATCATAGATGCTGTTTTTAAATCAAACCATTTCACGCTCACCGATCAGAACTGTAATCATATGTCATCACATTAACATAATCGACATTATGTATTATTCTCGCTAATTCAGCTTTCATTACAAATCCGGATGGCTTGTTCCTGAAAACACATCATTTTGCTTCCGTTTTCTCTAAAGGAGCAGTAAAGAACTCTTCAAAAGCACAATTCTGATCTTTTTTCTTTCGAAAAGATCTAAATCATGAGCTATCAGTACTTTTAACAGGACCTTTCGAGTAAATAACAAAAAAAGCATCAAATCAACGATTTTAGAAATACAAAGTGTAATATACTTGTCATTGAGAGGTGCAGGAAGAGGCACAATAATTTCAAGATCAGCCTGATGGAAAAGTTCTGCCCAATGTGAAATCAACTCGATCAATTCCCTGTAAGCCACTTATTTTCATAAATTATGAATTACTTCAAGCATTTTAGTTTTTTTTATGATTTATTTCGAATATTGGCTTATTCAAGTCTTACAACATATAATTAAAAAAAATAGCAAAATCAATGTAAGTTGGCTTTAAGAACTACTCAGTCTTAGTGATTAAAAAGTTCTTGAGATCCGTTCTCCCTAAAATGTCAGTCAATGATTATTTGCATAGCAAATACCAGTAACGAGCAAAGCTAGTAGCTACTTCCATTTTTCATCTCTTGATAATGCTTTGACATTACGCATCAATTTTACGATTTAACAGATGGGAAAAAAAAACCTACTCACTCTTTCACTTCTGTTTGAACTAACGACAAGACCTGAAGCCACACCTCTATGACTGCTCCATGCATTCTGTTTTTCTGGAACCTTTTTAGTTAAGGTCATTTTGAAAATACTGATAGCTTAATCGACCATGCATTCAGTGAAGGACAATACCTATACATATGTTATCATGCAACGAATGCGTACATAAAAAATATAATTTACTTCTTACATTCTTGTACGACAGCTGTTCTACACTTTTATACTACTTCAAAAATATAAAGATTTCTTACAGAGCAGGTAAGAGCCAATAACTGTGAACTGATTTTTCCTGTTAAATTACAGTAAATTCATTTGTCACAAGATTAACTCAGATATTTGATATAAATGGAACACCGAACAGTCTTAACTGATTAAAACTGTAACCTTAACGAAATTGATAATTAGTTGAGCACAATTTGTTTGCCATTTTTCATCATATAAAAACTGTTCAACATTTCCAAATGCTGATCCATCGATGACAAAACGTGGCATAAATTTGATTTCTGAATTATTTGTATGAATATCAGCCAACCATTCTAAAACAAATTTCACCAATAGTACATAAATCTAACAATCCTTGAAAAAAATTAAAATGATCTTAAAAATAACTCATTTAATTTATTCATAAAAATTTAAGAGAAATAGACTAATATATCTAGTAATAACACTATGTGAAAGATTATTAATTTACCAACGAACACTGCTATCTTTCTAAATGAACAATATTCAACTTACGTTTATCCATATCGTGAGTTCCAAGTATGGTACATGTTTTCTCTTGTTTTAGTTCAGGCTTAAACCGGAACCAAACAGGAGAGATGTGAGTGAATTTTTGAGCTGCCCATTTGGCAATGTCATATCCACCATTATTCCACTACAAGTATACTGCTATTTCCTAATATTCTTTTAATGTCTCGTAAGTCAATGTTGAATTCCATACTCTTCGCTTGTCTTTCCTTGACCCTCTCTTTTCCAGCTTCTTTTCTCTTGGAAACGTGGTAGAATTTACAAAATTTCGTAAGAAAGATAATAAATATATAAAAATTGGAAATTGGTCAAAATCTTTGTGCGAAATAAAAGTGAGGAATAAAAAAAATTCTTCGCTAAAGGTTTCGAATTTAGCAAATCTAATGTTAACAAAATTATTAGGTGCTATGAATGGGAAATTTATGGAAGCCTGTTAAAAGCTTTTTTTTTAAGATTACTGTCAAATTTCGTTGGATTCAATCCTTAACTTCAAAAGTCTGTAAAATGATAGAACCTTTTAAATTAATCAAAACAGTTCGAAATCAAAACTTACCGGCGTAACATATGCCAATATAGGATGGTTGAATTTTTTCTTCTCCACACACAGCTTATAATGGTTGTTAAGTATATTTTGAATATCATCCTTTTTGCCATTATCCTAGAAATGTTCAGGTAAATAGCAAACATAATCATAATGTAGTACAAGATGATAGTTTTACTGAGTAGCATATTTAGTACTCTAGCAGTTTTTTTCAAAACCTTAGTACATAATTCATCAGAGAGAAGAACAAAGTACTGAACGGTTTTGTTTTTTCCTGAATTATAATAGAAATTCATGCAAGAAAAATTACTTGTGACTGCTTCATAACATTGCTTTCCTCTTTCTGTCTTTGTTCCGTTTCATGAAACTTTTTCGATTTCTCTCTCCGATCTGATTTCGAAAGGGTGCCACAGGCTATCGAAAAGAAAAGCAGAAGCAAAAAGACTATACACTCTGGAAAACGTCGATTCATCCACAATATCCTGTAATTGAATAATTTCAGACCTTCTTGAATATGTCAAAAGATCAACGTCGTTATAATGTAAAAAGTATTGAAATTATTTTCTGAATAGTTTAACCTTTCAGATAATCTAACACTGCTTTTATTCTACAAAGGAGAAAATTATTCTTTGTTTCATTCTACAATTGAATTCGAGAATAGTCAATTAAATAAAAACTTCGAAATCCCAAATATTTCAGCAGAAAGAAATTAATTTTATTTCACTAATATTATTTTTCAGAAGTACATGAATTATAAACGAATAAAGAAACTGAAAATTAATATTCAAATGCTGGAAATAAAAATATGGCTGAGGAATAAGAGTGAAAACCGATAACTATAGCTTCTATTTGTCAAAAGCATGAAATCAGTGAAGAACGAACAGGAACATCAAACGTAATGGGAACCGGTAACCGGGTTGGGAAATAACCGGATGACTAAAATTTAATGCTACTCATTGTGATTGATCGAAATAAGATATTAGAAAGTGAGGGAATAAGAGATGAGGAGACGAGGGGAGAAGTTGAAAAGACTCACACCACAATATTATTGCAGACATTCAGAAATTTCGAGAAGAATCGATTTATGTAACGGTAACAGAGAATGAGAAAAAAATGAAGTGATTGAAAATGAAAGGTAATAGAGAGTGAGCAGTGAAGAGAGAGTATCGTGTGGATTTGTCCGAGCGATCCAGCCGAATTTTCCCGCTTAACAGTGGTCAGTTGAAGGTCAGTTAAATTCTCATTTCATCTAATCCAATTTCAACTTTTTTCTCAATCTTTTCTCATGAATCTTTAGCATATCTTTCAAGAGAAATCAAGAAACAAGGAAATTTCCCGATGTATTAAAGATCCTTTCAAAAATTCGATGAACTTATTTAGCATTAGAGAAGCATAAAATGCTTTTTATTTCTGCTATGAAATGAATCAGATTAGCACCTGGTAACCAATGATCCATTCTAAGTGTCATTGCTAAAATTGATATTATAACGGTACTGACAATAATCTCTTGATGATAATTCACTTTGAAACTTATAAAGAATGCAAAGATTCTCTGGTAAATGTGAGAATGGTGTAAGAATGTAAGGTGTTATAAAAATAAATAAGAATGGAAGATCGAAGAAAAAGTTCAAATGATATAATCAAATAAAATTTCTAAAATATTTATTGCCATCATTTGCTTACAATTTTGCTATGCAAGTGAGGAGAAGAAAATATATCAAACATTTTTATCACTCTTCTAATTTACATAGTTTGTTCGATTATTTAAATTTAAGTTAGACAAGAATTCAATAATAACCCATCATATTACTTGATATTGAAGAATTCTCCTTTATTTTAAAATTAAAATTCGACAATTTGATTAATATTATCATTATTATTATCATTATTGAATTGTTATCACTTAATAGATCTCACTCAATTATTTATTTGTCGTTATTTGATTCATATTCTTTTTGAAAATAATTTGCTATTATCAATTATGCAGCATATTAAATTTTAAAAAGTAACTTAATGTATAAATTCTTCACTTACCTTCATATTTTTTATTGTGTTTCTCGTTTGTTTGATGTCGTTCGAGTCAAATTTCACCCTTACCATTATTTCAGCCTCGGAATCATCTCGTCAATAGCACAAATTGTAATTACTCTTTAGAGATGCAATTCTCCATCTGAGCTTATCTCGGAAGTATTTTAAGTGAATGGTACTCGTTTGAATAACTTTGATTTCATTTAACAGTATAAGAAAACTCGTTTGAAGACTTTGATTTTATTTAACAATATAAGATTTTCTTGAAAACTTCAAACCAATTTTAGTAGACGAAAAAATGAACCTATTCAAGTCAATTCATCACTTTCCTCTAGTGAGCAATACGGAACACCGGAATTTTTCCGTTTCAATGACACACTATTTCTGTTAATTTACTATTAAACTGGTATGTTGATTAAAAATTTTAGAAAATTTTTGCTTAAATAAAAATTTAAGTTTTCAAAAAATTTTCTACAAATGATAATAACGAAGATTTCTTTCCTACTTTGTAAATTTTATAGATATATCGCAAAACGATGGACTGAACATCCTTCACACGAAAATTTTGAAAATGAATTTCCAAATTCTCATTTCCATTTCCAAAAATGCACAAATTGAGCAAATTGCGCTTTATATTTAAAAAAGAAAAAATGTGCCGAAAAATGTTTGTGCTATTGCCGAAAAATATTTGTGCTATTATATAACTTTGTGTTAAAGTGTTTAAAGTGAAAATGAGTTTTTTTTGTAAACATAACTCTTGTCAATGTTTTTCGTTGTATGTTTTGTTTTAAATGAAATTTATCTTTTTAATGCAGATATTACGCAATTTTTCATATAATTTTGAGTAAAAATGATTATCACGTGAAACTTTTTTGTTAGATAGCATTATCTGTTGAAGACAATGAAAAATGAAACTTCTAAGTTTGTTGCTGCTTAGTGAAATCGGCTTGAAATAGTTTAAAGCTCTGCATTTCTCTTGCAACAGGAGATTGACAACACTACTGGAAATTGATACTTAAGCTGATCGAGCACTATTCAATAAATCTCATAGTTTCATAGCTTTCTTTTTCTCCGCTAGCCTCAGTTTCTTACTTTTTATAAACTGATTTGCATTTGGAGAATGAGAGAGAGAGAGGGAAAAAGATAACAAAATAGATCGCGGCTTATCTTGCAACGATTCATTTAATTTCAAGCATTATAAAAAGCAATTTTTTTCTGCGCTTTTTTTCTTACTGCATTTATAATTGAATGAAGAAGTGTAAATCGGTGAAAAGGAAAAAGAAAAAAGGAGAAGAGGAACGAGAGCAAAAGTTGTAAATAAATTTTGCAAACATATCAGAGTAGTTGATGAGATAAATTTCTTGTTATATGTTTTTATTTAAAAAGTATCTTTTCTGCTAAGACACTTTAGACGATCGTTTCTTTCTAATTAAAAGTTGATTAATAAATCAGCCTAAATTATAGTTTGTTTTTTAGTTGGGTAAAAATTAAATTACTATTTAAATTGTATGCAATGTCAAGAAAAATCATTAATAAATTAATTGGCAATATAATA